GCTGTGTTGGTAAAAGTAAATCAGTTCAGATGAGAAGACAACTAATTACCTCAACAGTGACCTTCAGAGATTAATTATTTATTTACTTTTTCTAATCAAAGGGTTGCACATTATATATTTATACACACACACACACACATACACACACACACATATGTAAATAAAGAGATACATATAGATAGAGTTATTTTTGTTTGAAAACAATTCCACAAAAAGGGAGAGTTTCAGAGATTTAAATGGGATTAGGTGTTCAGCCGGCAATGATTTTCAACGGGACTCAGACATCTTTGTTCATCTATAATTCGCTCTGACTGTTACCTTGAAATACCTACAGACGTGGATGTCTCAGCCCTTTCCTCTGAATATTCTGAAGATCATATTGCTATTTGCAAAATACATAGTAGAACAGTTAACTGAGAGAGGTACAGCTTGGAGGCTCAAATTATAGGTACCTCACGCAGAGGAATTCCAAAACTTGAGGGTTCATACATGGTCCAACAGCTTTGAGCCACTACCACATAAAAGCAGTAGCTTCATTGCAACCTGCTCAGTATAGGAACTACACAAAATATAAGGGAGAAACTAGTCAACAATCTGGAATTTCTCAGGTGTTTCAGAAAGTTTCTGCAAATATTTTTGTACCTTCCTAGCATAACATACTATGAATCCGTTGCTTCTTTAAATCTAGAAAAGATTATTTTTCTGTTTGTCATGGATGTTACTTGTTACTAAAGGTAAACTCAGTTGTAGAAAGAACATTTTCATTTTCCCTCAATATATGAATGTTGTCCTAGAAGCAGGACCCTAAAATGTCTTGGAAAATAGCACTGAGCTTTACAATCTTTCAGAGTACCTGGAACATCCAAAGAAGCCAGTAGGCATGAGAGTCAAACATAACGTCAGAAAGAACTACGATATTAGAAACACAGGGAGCTGCATGTGTAAAACCATTTCTCATCTACAAAAAAAAAAATTCTAAGCACAAAATTGTCATAAAAATCCTAATTCATTGCTAAGGCCAATGAGTATTTTACAGCTTAACATAAGATCAAGTCCTTGGGCAGAAAAAATCTTTTTTTTTTCTCTTTCCATAAATATACATACTCATGCATCTACCTACATGAAAGGGATTCAAAACACAGATATTCTGTCATTGCACTGGCCTCTTACAATGAGATGGAGAAACTTTCAAATACGTTCTATTTTTCAGAGTGGAAGCACGAGCCCAGCTATGCACACCTCACTCTCCATTTTTACCACAAGCCATTATTTACATCTGTGAAAAGTGAGCGCAAAATGCTACCAGCATGAGTAAACCGATTTCTAATTTCCTCACATAGCCATGACATTATAAAGCATAAGGAAGTGGAAAAGCAGGTCCTCTCTGTTGGCAGGATCAGGTCTCTAAATGCTGTTCCCTCATAAGCCAAGTTTTTTGTGCCATATTTCTCAGGTAATTAAGTTTGTTTACAGGAAATCTTGTTCTTTTTCCCGTCTTTCCCCTTTTTAGAACTGATTTTGCTCTGAAATCCTACACTGAATAGAGATAGGTATCAATACTGCTATACCTGTTTTACAAAGTGAAAACTGAGTAAAAGATATGGAGCGCCACATAGATAGATGATATCAGTCTGAATTGATTTTAAAAGTTCCTGTTTTCATGCTAGAGCCAATCCTTTGAATTGCTACTTTCATGTAGATGCAAGGACTGCTTTTCTAATTGAAGTTTCATGGTCTAAGGGCTTTGCATTTGTATCTTCAGCACCCTTTCTTCAATGTATTTCCCAACTACAGATTACCATGACATATCCAATTCTGTGATAATGAACAGTCAGAGGATTGATTAAGGCAAAGTTTTAAAATCAAAGGTGTTCATTCATTCATTTTAATGAGAGTGTAGCATGGAAATATTTCCAAACCTAATCTCTCCTCTCTCATCTTGGGAACTTTTCTAGCCAAATCTCTGGAGTTGGCATAAATTTCTAACATGGGTTAAACTAAAATCCTAGCTCTAATTGCTCTGAAATTTGAGGAATTTTCTGATTTGGACCTATCACTAGCTACACATAATATCATGCTTTAAAAAAAAATCAAATATTTCCAGAGTACTGATCAATTTTCTTCTTCCTGCATTTCCACCATGACTTAATAGTTCAGAGAGAAGACTCTTCTCCACATCCTTGTGTTGTTACATTTAGGATTTAGGATTTAGGCCATTTGCTCTTGGTATAAAAAGTATAGGAAATTACCCAGGTCTCAGTTCCATATAAGCTGAATATGCCAGTTATGACCCAACAAAGCAGTTAAGCACATATTTAACTTCCAGCATCCCAAGAGTCTCATTCTTTTCAATAGATATACTTAAGAATTTGTGGTGTTTAGGGCCAGAATTCTCAGCATCTTGCTGAATGAGGAGATTTGAGTGTGAGGAATTGAGGGTTATCCCTGCGGGCTGTAAAAACCTGGTCATCTCCTGATCTTTGAGATATTCTGACATTTTAGGAGGAAAAGAATGAGAGCCCAGAAATATAAGCCTAAATAATTTTATCCTTTTGATCACGGGTTGTACAAGGGCTAATGAGGATTATTACTGCTCCTAGGAGACACTGCTACACATAAAAATGGCAACAAAGAGAAGCTTGTGTTTGGATGGCATTGACTTGGAAATACAAAAGGAAAAAACTGCAGCTCCACTGAGCAGGGTGGGGTAAAGAACTGAAAAGAATAAAAAAAAAAAAAACCAACTTTACTTGACGTGAAATTCAACTATATTTTCCCCAGGAAAAATGAAATGTAATACTGGTAATTTATACAGACTGTTGAACAAATTGAAACCATATACAGAAAATTAAGTTATGTTTTTATGGAAAGAACAGAATTTCATTTAACAAGCACTACCTAGAGCCAGCAGTCTTTCGCTATATAACTTGCAGGGTACTTTAATTATGCTGAGGTCAGAATGTCTGTTTCCAGCTCTAATCAGTTAAATCAAGTTTTTATTGCATCTGAAAAAAATCTGTTTTTTTTGTTCTTACATTTATTTTTTATATTTCAAATATAAATTAGAAATAAAATATAAGATATCCCATTACAATTTTAAGATGTTAATTTATATTTATAAAATTATTCTTAATAAAAAAAAACAGTAGATAAAACTCCTTCTTTGGAAAAATGTGTGCTTGAATGTTAGTGTTTTGTGATTTTTTTTTTTCCTGAACCACTGGTTTTGAGCTTAATTTTGTGTTGTATGGATGCTTGGCTTGTATTACAAAGAGATGGTAAAAAGGAAGGCAGCAGTCTTTTCAAACCCTTTGAGACTAGGGTGGGTTCTTCTTTGTAGGATTTGAGCTATATTCTGTCAATTGATAATGGATCTTTTCATTGCCTATTTTCAAACATTGGCTCAGTGATAACAAAAATAATTAGACGTAGATGAATTCCGTGTTTTTTTCCACGCTGCTTCTGCAAGGAGGTAACATGTTGCTATAATTGTGCATGTTTCCGTATATGGCAAATGCATAGAGAGTAAAAACTGAATGGACCCTTTGTTTATCTGGTAAATGTAAAAGGTAATTCATAATGGTGAAGGTATTTCACCCGAAGCAGGCACTGGATAAAATTCAGAAGCAGTCTTTGACACTGGGACTGAAACTGGAATCTGACAATGTTCCCTTCCTGTGATGGTCCTGAGCACTGGGACAAAGAGTCCCTCTCACTTGTTGCTTTCTCTGTTCCAATGAATCTTGATTTGGCTGTTTGTTTTTGTGCAGTAGAGCATTTTCAACAGGAGGAAGGGAGAATGTAGCTAATTCATAACTGCCTCGTGCCTATGATGCACTCCAGAGAAGCTGAATGATGTGGTTTGAAATGTCCTCAGACAGAGGAGAGAATTCGAGCCTGTCTCTTCCATATCCGGGTTGAACAGGCTTATCAAAATTGTACTGGGAGTTACAGTGTGAAGTAGAGGGAGGAGTAAATGGTGGGCCATTTGCTCCTGTTGAACATATGCAGAAAAGAATAATTCTACTTTTTTTTTTTTTTTTTGGAAAGAGAGGTGGTAGAGGCTTATATCAGGAAATGATGCCTGATTTCAGGAGGGCACTTTGCTAAAGCTCTAAGAAAGGGGCAAGATTTAGGCTGTGTTCATAGCTATTCTTTTTTGCCTAGCTCTAGATGGTTCCCTCCCCAGAGACTTGACTGTTTTGAATCTCATTCTGAGATGTCTAATACTTCCCTGGCATCACTCTGAGAGTCTAGTCACCTAATACAGGGCTGTGAATGCGGCTTGGCCAAAAATTTAGATTTATGGTGCTTCATTACTGCAGCTCATAAATCATTTTGTGGCTCTAGCTCAAATAAACTATTTTTTTCCTTAATACCTGGTCATTCTCTGAGCTGGATGTTTTTTAAGAGAAGCAGCACAGGCAGGATGGGCCCTAAGAAATAATTTCAATCAAGGTAGCATTTGAGAGGTGTGAAGATGTACAGGAGTATTTTACTTCCTGTAATTAAGATATATGTTTGCTCATATTAAATCTAAGGTATCCAGAAGGATCCAGCAGAGCCTTGCTTGTTCCTTCTGCAGGTTTGAATCTTCATTATATGTTTGAGCCTTTATGCTGAAGGGCCTACATTTTTTGTTACTCATTTTCTCCATTTGGACCAAGCATAGAGTATAACAATCACTGCATGTTCAGAATAACAATAGTTGAAATAGTTGACTTGGGCTGAAAAACACTGAATGGAAAGTTCCATTCTTTCTGCTTAATTATATTAAATAAAAACGTTCCATATTTGCTTTTCTGTCCTTTTACTCCATTATGTTTCCAAATGCTAAAAAACTGTTTAATAAGATCAATAGACGGATCCATAGCGTTATCCATTGCTATCTCCCCTGCTATCTTTGAGGAATATGTGACCTCTTTTTGAATTTTTTCTGATGATGTGTTCCTCTCCTTCTCCTTTAGAGCCTGGTTGTTAGTCCGTTCAGCATCTGAAGTCATCTACCCAGCATCCAGGAGAATTTACAGGTGAGAGTGCATATTTCCTGAAATAAATCAGGGAACACATTTCGTGCACCACATTAACTCTATTTCCCCTTTATAAAAATAATGTTGCTGTAACTTAGGAGAGACTGGCCTTACAGAAGCAAAATAGCTATCACTGTGTGTGTGTGTGTATACATCCCAAAAGGATTCATAATCATTTCCATTTGTTGACTGGATGGCAGCCATTTGTTTAATCATCATTCAAGTGCAGGGAGACCGTGTAGCATGTGAAGGCTGTATTTCAGACAGGAAAACTGCCAAAAACATCCAAGTATGTAACTTGACTATCCAATTATATTAACAAATGATGATGGCCGGAGTTTGGAATGGTGGAAAATGAGCTGTAGTCCCAATCTGTTACTAGTACTACCTTCTAAAAGGAACTATACTTCCTCATAGCTTTTCTCTCAGTCCTTTTTGCTTTACTCCTCATTCTGCAGAAGCCTTATCAGTCTCAGTTTTCGTGCTGTCAAATGGCTGTGCTGTTGTGCCTCTTCTCCATAGACAAAAATCTTTACCAACATAGAGAGTGTCTCTTTTCATTTCTCGTCTGTCTGAAGTAAATTCTGCCCTTGTGAGTTTATTTTTTCCCCTCTTTTGGAACATGACCTAATGACCACCGCACTTTAAATTAATAAAACCTGGCTCAACATTATCTGCAAATCCAGTAAATCCTGGCTTGGCAAAAAGATCAGCATGTGGCAAAAATAGCAAGCTGTTCACCCTACTGTCAAGAAAATGGCAATGTTGCCAGCTTTTATTACCATTTTGTTAATAGTACGATTCTCATCACCCGTGTTCCTGAAGGGAATAAGTTAGATAAACTTTCATTAGAAAAGATATACTTATAGTCTTCCTGTTTGCACAAAAAGTTTGAAAATTTGACCTAAAGGCTTTAACAGAGGAAATGAAACGTCCTCATGTATACATTTTCAGATCTCATGGTTTTAAGCATCACCATAGGACTTTTGAGTTTTATTCTCAGTGTTTGAATACTTGAAGTTAGCAATACTACAATGACTAATAAAATCATAATTTTTAATCATCAGCAAAATATAAGCTTACAATTAAACCTACAAGTCCAAGTATGAAGGATAAAGAACAGATGCATTCCATATAGTGCTCTTTCATGCTCACAAACCATAGCTTTAAATACTTGACAGTTAAGACAGGGAAGAAAGTCTCAGCCCAAGCCCATTTAACTGATAGCCTGGGGAAACAGAAATTATAAAGAAGAAAAATATGATTTTAGCTGAGATTAGAAATGTGATCAGGGATCAATGAGACAAAAAATAAAGACAATATGGACGCAATAAAGTTATGTGAGACAACATTTGAGAAGATGTTCATTTTCACAGGACCTGGACTGCACAAACAGAGAAAGGCCTCATAAGCAGAGGGTGGTAAAGACAGCCACATCTGTGAGGAAGGCTGTAGGCAATCAAAGTAGCTAGTTCGAAAAAAATTGAAAAACAAGAAATGTGACTGGCAATTTTTACTAGATCATGGGATGCCTGCTTGAAACTGGAGGCTACTTGTTCAGACAGCATCACTTGCAGCGTCACCTAAGCTGAATTTTGTACCATTTTGTTCTTGTGAGTGAACAAATTCACTTGAAACTGTTACACTGTGGAGATCCTGTTACCATTAAGCAATTTACAGCACCATAAGCAGATTCCTATTCTGCAGGAGATATCCAGACTTGAAGCTGACATTTTGTACACCTTCTTCACCTCAAGCAAGATGAAAGAGGCACAGATCACAAGCTCCTGTCTTCCTGGGGCAGGGGAAGATGGTGTCCTTGCTTGAAGGAGGTGTGCACTGGTGCAGGAGCTGTGTTGCCAAGTAAAGGAGCTGTGGGAGGAGTTCAGCAGACTGTGTAAAAAGAGATTGATTGGATCTTACTTGAGACTCAGCAGAGGCAGAAGCCTGAGCCCCCAATTGCACTGAAGGAAGGATAGGAAGAATCTGTGCTTATCAAGTTGGGAAATGTAGGTTCCCTTGATGGCGCAGGCTAGAAGCTGGTGACCTCTGGCAAAAAGAGGAAGGCTCCTGCTCCACCTGCAAATCTGCAGCCACAAAATGGATATCTGTTACGGATTGCTTGAAGAAGTAGATGAGGCCTTCATAAGACAGCTGGAAAGAGCCTCACATTTGCAGGCCCTGATCCTCAGGGGGAACATGAATCACCACAATAGTTTCTGGAACAGCAATGAGATGGGGGAGTTCAGGATTCTGAGAGGAGGAAAGGCAAATAGCAAGATGAAAGGTCATGGTGACTTTGGGAAGTTTCTGAGGACTAGAAGAAAGCAAATGTCACTCCTATCTTCAAGAGGAGTTAGAAGGAGCATCTGAGGAACTACAGGCCAGTCAGCCTCACATCCGTCCCTGGGAAGGTGATGGAGCAAATAATCCTGGAAGCCATTTCCAAACATATTAAGGACAAGGTGATTAGAAGTAGTCAGCATGGATTTACAAAGTGGAAATCGAGCCTAACCAACAGGATCACCTTCTACAATAAGATGACTACCTCTGTGAATGATAGGAGAGCAGTGAATGTTGTTTATCTTGACTGTAGCAAGGCTGTTGACACCATAATGTCTTTATTGCCATACTAGAAAAATGGACAGTAAGGTGAACTGAGAACTGACTGAGCAGCTGTATTCAAAGGGTTGTGATCAGCAGTACAACATCCAGCCGGAGGCTGGTGACGCCAGAGGTCAATACCGGGCCCAGTGCTGTTTAACATCTTCATCAGTGACCTAAATGACGGATCAGAGTGCATGCTCAGCAAGTTTGCCAATGACACAAAACTGAGAGGAGTGGCTGATACACCAGAGGGCTGTGCTACCATTCAGAGGGATCTTGAAAGACTGGAGAAATGGGCCCTAGAGGAAACTTATGAAGTTCAACAAAGGGAAATGCAAAGTTCTACATGTAGGAAGGAATAACCCTATGCACCAGAAAATGCTCGGAGACAACCAGCTGGAGAGCACTTTTGCAGAAGAAGGTCTTGGTGAACAAGCTGAACATGAGCCACCAATGTGCCCTTGTGGCAAAGAAGGCCAACAGCATCCTGGGCTGCATCAGGAAGACAGCTGCCAGTAGGTTGGGAAAGGTGATTCTTCCTCTCTGCTCAACGCTGATGAGACCATTTCCGGAGTGCTGTGTCCAGCTCCGGGCTCCCTGTTACAAGAGAGGCATGGACATACTGGAGCAAGTCCAGTGAAAGGCCACAAAGGTGATTAAGGACCTGGAGCATTTCTCATATGAGGAGACACTGAGAGTGCTGGGACTGGTTTGTCTTGAGAAGCGAAGGTTTGGGGTATGCAGAGGAAAATCTTATCAATGTGTATAAATACTTGATAGGGGTAAAGGAAACAGAGCCTGAATTGTCTCAGTGGTATGCAGTGAAAGGACAAGAGGCAGTGAGCACTAACTGAAATATAGGAAATTCTGTCTAAACCTAAGAAAAAACTTTTTCATTGTGAAGGTGGTTGAACAGTGGAACTAGCTGCCTGGAGAGGTGATGGAGTCCGTCCCTACAAATATTCAAAACCAGACTGCACAAGGCCCTGAACTACCTGCTCCAGCTGACGAGGGGGATTGGAATAGACAATCTCCAGAGGTTCCTTCCACCCTCATATATGCTATGATTCCCAGGCCTTGAAAATGACATTGATGAAGGCAGGCACATAGCATTTGTTCCTTTCTTAATGCCCCAAGCATGAAAATTTAGTATAGTTTATAGTCAGTTAATGAAATTTCTTCAGGATATACCTCTACAGAGAAGAGTTTTCTGAGGCAGATTTTTCAAGTTTCAATATATCACTTGACCATCGTGGTGAAAGAAACTAATAGGAAAATTGGGTATTGACAGAGGAGAAACAGAGGGGAAGAAGCTTCTGAGCCTCATGCAGTGGTGGAGAATGAGGATTCTGTTCTGTTTTTTACGTTTTCCCTAAATCAAAATTTAGGCCAGATGTTTGGGATGCAAACAGCAGCATAGCTTTAGAATGATCCATGTTACTGTGTCAGTAGTGTGAAGCCCTGGCTACCTTTGTAAAATATCTGCATTCTTCTGTACTGTGAAATCCGCAGGATTTCAAGAAAGCCTTGAAAATCCTCACTTTAGGTGGGAGGTTTTTCCAACAAAGTTGTTTTAACAGGACCAACTGATTAGAGAAATATTTAATAATCCTGATTCCCAGTACTATAGCACTAGCCATGTCCCACCACAAGTCTATTTTTATTTTTTACACAATGGGCTAGAGTTTAGTTCAAAATATTTTATATAAACATTTCTCTTGGATCAGTTGATTTATATGAACAACAGAATGCCTTTCTGAGGCAAAAATATTTTGTTAATTTTCAACGGACAGTATTGTCTCATTCATTTGCACAGCATTGTATCATAAAACATGAAATGTTGTTGCCAAACGATATTGACAAATACTATAAGAAAGCATCTGTGGATGGAGAAGTCATATGGACATGACAGGTTTAGAGGAAAAAACTGTGAAGGTCTTAGGAGATTCTCTTATGCAGCTAATGAGGTCGAGATGAGAAAAAAAGTGCTCCACTTGAGCATCCTCATATTGTATATAAGACATGTTTTAAAATACTAATACTAGAAACAGACCTATACTTGATGAACTCCAGATGATTCCACTGATGTTAATACAAAGAAAAAAATCCAAACTCTTTCCTCCTCCATCCCCTTTCCTTGCCAGAGGTAATCCAGAGATTCGTGCACTGTTAAAGTCATTATGACATATTTTGGAACTAGCAAAAATGAAAATGATTCATCTCATCTTTCCTATGATGTTTAAAAATGTATTTTGCAGTAGCTTTAAGTACAAGACAGTTAGAAAACTTTCAGCAATTTAAATAAATATCATAGGAAAAGCCTTTGAAGTGGAAGATCATGAGTGAACACATCTGCTTAACAGAACTGAAAGCACAAGGGTTTGAGACCTTTC